CTTGCCAGCCCACAAGATTATGCTCTCTCCCCTTTGCCCTCATAGCACTCAGTGCCTGCATCATCTATTTGTGAATTCATTCTTGTGTTCTTGTAGAACCGCTGCATCTACCCTGCTACAGTGTATATACATACTCTTGGGAGAGGAGCTGCTTCTACTTCTTTGGCTTCCCTAACTCTTCACATAGTAGGCATCCACCTAGGTATCTGAGTGATTAACTATTTCACACAGTATGTTCCTCTTTAGGAATATCACATTTTACAGAGAGCAGTGCAGGCTGTCGTTATTTTTTAATTATTTTTTAATTATTTTTTTAAGATTCTTTTATTTATTTATGACAGACACAGAAAGAGAGAGAGGCAGAGACACAAGCAGAGGGAGAAGCAGGCTCCATGTAGGGAGCCTGACGGGGGACTCGATCCCGGGTCTCCAGAACCACACCCCAGGCTGAAGGCGACGCTAGACTGCTAGGCCACCAGGGCTGCCTGACGGTAGTTATTGAAAAGAACTTGTCTACTGAGCTCTTGAACTCCAATACTCTTTTCACCCTCTTTTCACTCAATTTTTCTTTCTAATGGGCTGGTTGTGAACTGATACATCTTTATATTTTCCATTCATTAAGCACCAAATAAAAAACAACAGATGATTTGCTTCAAAATGGAAAAGAAGGTTAAATGTGAATGGGACACCTATATTTTCTGAATAACTAGCATACCATAAAATAAATCTTTCCAAGTGTTATATTTGAAAACAATGTAAAATTGCAATTCTAATTCTCAACCAATCTTTGAACAGCACAAAGATTTTTTTTTTTAACCTAGAAAGATGTGGGTAGTGTGCTAACATCTACTCTCTCAGAAACCGAACCTACAAAACAGACGGGAATAGCATACACACACCAAGGCAGAAGCACATCTTGACAACAGGCTGCACTTGGTGTCCAAAGAGGGAAGGACACATTTTACTATACTGGTTGGCCTTCAACAGATCATTCGTGAAATCTCAAAAATATTAACGTTTCAGGAAGGGGCCAGTCTGCCTTATCCACCAAAAATGGAATTACAAACAATCTTCCGAGATGAGATGGCTATTTACATTTGGGGTCTGAATCAAAGATCTCTATGCCCAAATTTATTGGAATGACTTTTGTGCCCTTGACATTTAGACAAGAATAGCCTGAGATAAAACCTAGGGAGAAAATTCTTCTTAACTCACTTATGTCTCTTCAAGAAATAAAGACTTAGGGATCCCTGGGTGGCGCAGCGGTTTAGCGCCTGCCTTTGGCCCAGGGCGCGATCCTGGAGACCCGGGATCGAATCCCACATCGGGCTCCCGGTGCATGGAGCCTGCTTCTCCCTCTGCCTGTGTCTCTGCCTCTCTCTCTCTCTCTGTGTGACTATCATAAATAAAATAAAAATTAAAAAAAATTAAAAAAAAAACCCACCTTTAAAAAAAAAAAAGAAATAAAGACTTAGTATTTAAGTCTATGGTATGTCATAAGAGAGATATGTATGCATATATATAAATACATATATAAAATCATATAAGATATATGTGTACATACATAAAATAATCATATAAAGCTCAAATAAATATATATCAACAAAATTCAATTTCTAAAATACTCAAATGGACCTATTTCATTACTTCTGATTTCTACAAAATAAACATAAAGATCATGACTGAGGTACAATTAGCAAAATTTTAACTTTAGAATAAACAAAATTTAACCTTTAGAATAAGACCATCTTCAAATCATTTTACTGCCCTCCTACATAGCATTGCCTCCCAAAAGCCAGATCCAAAAGGAATGAAGTATCCTAAGAAATATCCAACTACTGGGCAGCCTAGGTGGCTCAGCGGTTTAGTGCCGCCTTCAGCCCAGGGCCAGATCCTGGAGAGCCAGGATCAAGTCCCACGTCAGACTCCCTGCATGGAGCCCGCTTCTCCCTCTGCCTGTATCTCTGCCTCTCTCTCCCTCTCTCTCTCTCTCTCTCTCTCTCTCTCTCTCTCTCTCTCTGTATCTCACAAATAAATAAAATCTTAAAAAAAAAAAAAGAAAGAAATATCCAACTACTCACATCAAAGCCTATTTCTGGAAAGTTAGATAGATGTTATAAACCCACCAGAACATAAAGAAATCAGCATTGAATGTGGCACCACATACACACTTGGTTAAGCCAAGCATCTGCTAGAGACTCAAGTCAAAACGGAATATAGTACTCATATCCAGAAACTATTCACTATAGTACCATACCTGGTAAACTGAGTAAATAAGAGAAATTAAATCCAAGAGCTGCAAAACATCAGACCCATTAGTTCAAAGACAAAGCAGTCTATATGGCCATAAGATATGAAGAGATTTGGAGAGCATGGCATCACAAAAATATGACTCATTAGGAACAAGTAGCCACAAGTTAGCATTTAAATGTTCAAGCTTTATGTTGTGCTATATAATTCAACATATGGCTTGTACACTATGGAATAGTTAAAATAGAATTGTTTTCTGAACTGAAAGGACAGCTCATATCCTGATTATTGTAAACCAAAATTCAGATCAATTAATAGAGTAATTAAAATGAAAATGGGCCAACTGTTTTTTGAACTATTGTAAGATTTGGCACACAACTCCAACTTTGCTATGTGGTATTCTCCTCCCTTCTCTTGAGCCATGTGGTAGAGGGTATTTATGACTACCTGTGTCTGAGTGAAGCTGAGTGATAATTGCCACTTAAGTCCATAACAGTGAATACAGATGGCTACACCCTCACTAAACAATGTATATGCAGGATCTAATCCCTACAGGAGAACAGAAATGGAAATCTCTATTTTCACTAGCAGGTAGTTATAAAAGCCAAAAGATGTAAAAGTACAATTATTCAATATTGGGAAACCCACCAAGGACCAATGTTCACACATCCTTACTTCTACTTTACTGATACTAACAATTACTGGGTATGCAAACTTCTTCATGGCAGGTAGTATGATTTTTTTACATTTGTATTCCCCCTACCAGACATAACCATACACATAAGCTCTCAATAAAGATGTATGGAGTGAAAGAATGAAGAGATAGGCTATTTTCCCTAGCCAATGTCTTCTCTTTATTGACACTGAGTTTTAAAGTTTAAATCTGACACAGAAGGAACTCTCCAGCCAAGAGTGGAACCAAATATGCTGATCCACCCATAAGTAAAACACATTGTCTATCAAATGATCTTTTCCAATGTATTCTGTTAATGGCATTCATTTATAGGAAAAGTCTGGAAGATTGTGGGATTGACTAAGCCACATGGGGGGTTACAGGACACAGACTCGAACTCCCTTCTCTCAACCTCCACTTCAATAATCCTCCCCTATCTCCAAGCCACCACATTCTATCTAGTGGATTTTCCATGGGTTAACAAAATTCAAAACATGCTTCTCCAGAGACTGTCATGGCAAAGCTTGTCTGATTCAGAAAGCAGTCATCTTTGCTAGAAGTTTCTCTGTGACTTCTTGATTTCATTAAGTTCTCAAATCACAGTGAGTTGCCAGCTTGGCAATATAAAACAGTATAAAATAACATTACCAGCGATTTGCTTGTAAAACTTCATTTTTCTTTTATTTTTTTTATTTTTTAAATTTTTATTTATTTATGATAGTCACACACAGAGAGAGAGAGAGAGAGGCAGAGACACAGGCAGAGGGAGAAGCGGGCTCCACGCACCGGGAACCCGACGTGGGATTCGATCCTACGTCTCCAGGATCGCGCCCTGGGCCAAAGGCAGGCGCCAAACCGCTGCGCCACCCAGGGATCCCTGACCAATACTTTTTTAGCGCCTTGCGGGTACTAGGAGGTGATGTGGAGATGTAAGAGTAATTAGGAGCCATCAGAAGCCCTCAGTGAGCACACAGCTACATGAAGAACACTGAAACTGCACCTTTATCAATGTGATTGTAGAACTATTGACTGGTATACTAGAAGTATGTGTGAGATGCTCTCTGAGCACTAAGAAAACACAAACTCTGCCACAGCTTGGTCAGCAAAAGTAACAAAGTGTATGTCACACCGTAAGAAGCACACATGAAAATGCTTCTTTTCCATTTTTAAAAATCATTGCTAAAACTAATAATAAAAACTTGAGGAAATCTGTAAGATCCTTAAGCTTTCCATCCCTGACTTCAATGCTCATATTTTTAAGAGAAAAAGAATACCCTGACAGAACCAAGCCACAGGTCTCATCAGATGACAGCTGATTTTTTGGCTGTGGGCCTGATATCACTTAATTAATTTAATTAAATGAGATAATGTATGTAAAGTGCTTGGCATAGTAAAAGCCAAATAGCTTGTGCTCAATAAATGTCCACATTCATTCATTCATTATTAGATAAGGACCATTATGACTTGGATGGAAATTCTCAGACATTTATCAACCCAATCTGTGAAATGATTCTAGAATGCCCTGAAGGTGGGGTGAAACAGTAAGAAGCAAAGTTTCCAAAGAATCTTTGAAGGAATAGCACCCCTGGCATCCTGCCCTCCTCCTCCCCATCAAAAGACTTTGGACGTTCTTAGACTTTGCCCAGGCGAAGACCTATTTCTACAGGCGATCACCCATCTGAAGAAGGCTGCACCGGCCGCCGACGTGCTTTTCCTGGGGCAAGTACCTGACAGACTGCAGACTTCCCCGGGAAGGGGGGCAGGCAGGCGGAGCCTCCACCCACGGCAAAGTCCCCAGTACCGCGCGTGGACTTCCAAGGCCACGCCACTTCGTCCGGGGAAACTACTAGCAAGGAAAAGGCCGCTGCCCTGATGGCTGGAGGTCGATCCAAGGGAGGGCTTAGTCCTCCGCCTGTTCTCCCGCCGCCCCACCGGGTGCCCGGGCCCTGCCCCGCCGGGCCCGCCCCGCCCCGCCCCAGCCCGCGCCCCGCCCCGCCCCGCCCCGCCCCAGCCCGCGCCCCGCCCCGCCCCAGCCCGCGCCCCGCCCCGCCCCGCCCCGCCGCGCCCCGCCCCAGCCCGCGCCCGCTGTCGCCGCCGCCGCCGCCGCCGGGAGTCGCCCGGAGCAGGTGAGCTCCCTGCCCGCAGCCGCGTGAACAATGAATGGAGTTGGGAGGGGAAGCCGAGCGCCCGGACGCTGGACACTGCCTTCCGCCTCCCGCCCCTTCTGCGCGCACTCGGCAGAAGGACTTTCCCTGCTCCTCGGCGCAGGTGGCGTTCGCCGCGCCCGCAGCCCCGGGCCCCGTCCCTCGACCCCCGGACGCTTAATTCACTGGTTGATTCCATCGGTCTGAGCCCAGGCCGCCTGCGCGATCATGGCGGCCACTCCCACCGCCTCCTTCCTCTCCGCCCCCAGCTCGCGGCTGCACGCTCGGGTCGCGGCCCCGGAGGGAACCCGGAGTGCGGGCGAAGTAGGAGGGTGCAGCCGCCCCTCCCGGGCCGCTTTGCCCCCGAGGAAGCAGGCAGCCTCGCGCCTCTCCGTACCGGGGGGTTCCTCTCGGGGCACCGGGGCGGTCTCGGCCCGGAAGGCGCTCAGGTCAGGCCCCTGCTCGCGGAACCGTCGCTGCACTGCGCGGGACTCCCTGGGCCGGCGCGGGCCAGCGGCGGCGGCTTCAGGCGGCCGAGCTTACGCCGCGGAGGGGCCGAGGTTGTTTTTGCCCGGGGAGAGCGGCTGTTGGCCCCTCGCCTGCGCTTCACGTGGCTGCTGCCCCGTTGGGGCAGCGCGGAGCGGGGGAGAGGGGGGCCCCGACCTCAGAGACGCCAGCGCCGCGGCCACCCCAAGGGCGCCTGCGGCCGAGGGGGGCGGGAGACAAGCTCGTGACCTGGGGGCACGACCATGGGGGGAATCCCTTCAGCGAAGCCCACCCCGGTTCCACCCCCACCCGCCTACCAACCCCAAAGACTTCCGCGCGACCCGCAACACCGAGCCCCTCTCAACACGCGGACCCCGAAAAGAAAAGGCGCCTCTCACCTTCGCAGGGACGAGGCAACGCTGCCAGCTCCGCCAGCGCCAGGGCCACCCCGAGCCACATTCTGAAGGCGCCCATCGCGCCTCGACACCTGCCCTGGAAGAGCCCAGCTCCCAGCACCCGAGGCCCGCTCTCGCCTCGCACGCTGGCTGCGGCGCCCGGGCTCCTCGCTCCGGGGAACCGGCCCGCCCGCGCCCGGGCGACAGCGCGCTCGGCCCCTCGCGAGGCAGGACGCCAAGGCGGGCCGAGCTTGGGGGGAGAGAGGCGGAGCGCGCTCCCCGCCGCGGACGGACTCGCCCGAAAGTCCCCGCCGCGGGCCGAGCCGACCCCTCCGCTGCAGGGTCCCCGGCGGGGCGGGGCGGGGCGGGGTGGGGCGGGGCCCGGCCCGCGCGGGCTGCCCCGGAGCCGCTTCGCGAAGTTCGCTGGACGCTGTTCGTCGGCGCTGCGTGGGCACAGCGCGTCGCCGGGAGCCCAGAGAGGCCCGCCCGCCGCTCGGCGGGGCCCCCGGCTCCGCGGACCTCGAGCCCCGGCGGCCGCTCGCGGGAAACTTCGCGCGGCGCGGCCGGCAGCCCCCGGGACCCGCGCCCCCGCAGCCGACTGCCCGCAAGCTCCCGCCGGCGGCACCGGGGCCGGCGCAGGGGGGCGCTGCTGCTCCGCGCGCCGGGGTGCGGGGCGCGGGGTGCGGGGCGCGGGGCGCGGGGCGCCGCTTGCTCCACGCCGACGGCCACCTCCGCGCCGGCACCCGGGGCAGGTCCGCAGGCTCGAGGTGTGATCACGCGAGCGCAGGAGGAGCCGTAAGGTTCAGTGCACGGAGGAAAGGGCTTGGGAGGCTGGAAAGATCCTCAGCTCAGCGCCGCTCCGACCGCGGAGCCCGGATACGCGCAGAATAAGGCCCCTCTGGACCACACGCTCCGCCTTCCTCTGCCTCTCTCGCCTCCTTCCTCTCTCCTTTGCTCGGTTTGAAAGGAGACCCAGGGCCTCGGAGCTTTGGCAAAGATTCCAGAGAGTCACGTGGGGAAGGGGAGAAGGAAGGGGGGGCAGTGAGGGGGAGGCCGAGAGCAACCTGATCCCCGTATTCGTTCCGCGGGAGGACGTGCTGCCTTTGTCTGGGGGCGGGGCGAAAAGTGGTCACCCCCGGGAGGGGGAGGGGGAGGGGAGCTGGGAGGGGTGCGATGCTGTGGCCTTTGCTCACTCAGGCACCGCTGAGAGCCCACAAACTAGGTCCTCGCCTCCCGCTGCAGGAGGGATCCCAGGGGGGTTCCCCCCACGGTCAGGGGCCCTGGCGCTATTTTGCCCCTCCCGCCGCCACTCCTGCTGGACCAGGTGCGTGGGGCACACCTGACCCGTCCTGCTCGCTCTGGGACCCTCCTGTCGTCCCACCGTGGGCTGTACCTGCAGCCTGGAGGATGTGGCTCCTACGTGCCAGGCGGGGCCTCCCTCCGCGAGCGCACCTTGACCTCTCCTAGGGTCTAAGACGCCGAGGCTGGGACGCGGTGCGGTCCTTGCGCGGGGGCTCCAGCTGCGCCCCCAAATGCCAGGCCCTGGGAAGTAAATGTCTTGGCGAGGCAGACTGGGGCACGCACTTGAAGGGTGAAGGCCTTGATTCTGGTCAGGACCGAGTGACGACAGCAACTTTTATATGATCAAATAAAAAAGAGCTGGTCCAGGGTTAATCATTTTAAGAGATGAGAGTGGTTGCCCCAGAGACATGCTGGCCGGGCTCTGACTGAGCCAGAGACGTCCTGGTTCCCTTAGATGGCCAGAGGTGAGTGAGCACGTGGAAGGGGAGCCTGTCCAAGCAGCAAACGCTGAGCTGTGAAGCGGCAGGGGTCCCACTTGTTTTCGATCTTTACAAGCACCCTAAAGGTAGGGGAACCCTCTAATGCTCTCATGCGCTACTTAGAACAAATCGCTTTTCAGTATAACTCAGTAAGCTGTAACTGGCAGGCGCCTGTGTGTATTACTTATTTAGCCAGAAGAAAATGGGAACCCCTAACAACCTAACCTGGCACTGATTTTTGAGTAAAGGACCCAGGAGTTGTGCAACTCACCCTCAGTCTCTCTGGGATCGTGAGGGCCTCAGGAACAGTCTTTATCACCTCTGTATCTGAAACACATCGTAGATGCTCATTAAATGTTTGTTGAAAGAATGTACTGAGTAAAATAGTAAGTGCCTGAAAGCAGTGGCCACATCAAGGGCAGTTGGGTGTCTTAACTTCCCCTCCCCATAAAAAGAACCCCTCTCCTTTTTTCATTTAGAAAGTTGACATTTTCTCAGTCCCATATAAAGTACTATGAAAACTCAGCTTCCAACACACTCTGGCAACCAGGTTACCACTCCGAACCCATTCCTTATAGAAATTTTGTAGCCACCACTGACTGGGAGGGAGTAACTTAGACAATGTGTTCTCTTAAAAATCAATTTGATTAAAAAAAAAAAAAACTATACCATCATGGCACTCCAAGAAGCTTCAGTAAGACATCTGTTATACTTGTGCGATATGCAAATGTGCTACTTTTTAAAAAGGAAAGGAAATGAAGGAAGGAGAGGAAGTGGGGGGAGAACAGCATTTCCAAGTTACCCCAAATTCATCATATGCATTATTTATATATATCACCCCACCACCACCACCATCACCCAGCCCACCCAGGGCCACACACTGGCCCACACATGCCATCATCCTCCTCCCCATCTCTGATTAGGTGGCTCAAGTCCCCATCCCAGTATGATCAAATGGATGAAATGGTCAACCAATTAGTAAGATTAGGCATATATAGCACCTTCCATGGCCACTTAAATTGAGATATGAGATGTCAGGAAAATAATTATACTAACATAACCCATTTCATTATGATAGAAATTTAGTAGGCATTTTTATGGATATGCAATTGATGATAACTAGCTTTTCTCTATAACTTAACCTCATTCCAGCAACCAGTGCTTCCCCTGACAAGGAGTTGGCACAATAGTTGGGTCTGTATCTTTATTCCTCTTCACTCACTCATCTAGATTCCACAACTTCTGTTAATATGCCCCACAGTATCTCCTTCGATTGGTCCTACTGGTACCTAGTGACATTTCCCTGACCTTGGTGCTGTCCAGTTTGGGGAATTTATTTATCAATTCCTCCTGTAAATGACAGCAAAAACAAAAATAATAGACAACACATGTTAAGAATAACCTTAATAGCCTAACACTGTACACTTTCCATTTAATCCTCCAATAACCCTATGAGATAGGTACTATGATTATTTCCATTTACAGGAGAAATCTTGATGTTCAGAGAGTTAAGTAATCTGTCTAAAGTTGGACAACTAATACATGGCAAAACATATTAGAGCAAGCAATGCTAGCTGCAAAAACGGGCAGAACCCCACACTGCCACACTGCAGTGTCTTAAGACAAACATTTATTTGTCAATCACATCCTGGCCCCTGGGCATAGGTGACTACTTCTTGTGGTTCTAGCATGATAGAGCACACCTCATGCAGCTTCTACCTGGGGGCAAGAAAGTGATGAAGGAGGTATTAAAATGCCTAAGGGACTCAGCCCTTCCTCTCACAATCCAGTGGCAAGAATGAGTCAAATGGCCCCAACCTCACCGCAAAACAGATTGGACCTGTTGGGGAAAACATGGGTATTTAGTGAGCACTAACAGTACTGCTCCACTCCAGAGCTCCTGCTCTTCACTATCTTAACTGTCCTTTGCTACGCTATCCTGCCTCCCAGCAAATCCACAGGTTGAACCTTTCCTGCTAAAGGGAGGGCTTCGCCGACTTTGTTGCAACTGTTCAACTTGTCTTTACTTTCCTGTTGGTCCACTTTACTCTCCTCTCCCTTTCTCCCTTCTGCCCCCCTTTCTTCTAATTTTCACGGTCTTCTTTCTGCACAACCCCACCCTATTCACTGAGTCTTGGATCATTTCTTTCTCCTCTGTGCCGCCTAGGTGTACCTGCCCTAGGGGTGATCCTGCAGCGTTACTGCTTTGGCTCTGCTTTGTCAGTTCGGCGTGTGACAGTATGTGTTGATTTTTTCTCCTGCTTCAAATAGTTATTCCAAAAGAATAATCAAATAATACAGAAATATACACTGATGGGCT